ATATATCATAAAAAGAATCATTTCAGTCTTCGATATGCACATAATGAGCACAACCATTTGATGATAAAGTCAAAGTAAAATCAACTTGATTGGGGAAACAGGCAAAAAAGTTCGAACAGAAGCGAAATCAGTTGTCATGATTATGAGCAATAGCATTCTCTATCATTCAGCTTTTTGGAATCGTGTACAGAAAACGCGAGACTTATTTATTGAGGAAATCCCAGTATACTATTGAGAAAAATACTAAACAATTCTATGCATGCTAGTGACAACAGCAAGGTACTTGATGACGTCACAACAGGGGCCGCGCTCGGACACTTCCGGCTGTTGAAAGGAGCTGTAGATGAAAGAAAAATAAATATATATAGGTTACAGTAGACCATCTACTTTTTCGACGACAACGTAGACGTAAAATTTGAATTATGCCATTTATTACCGTTCTAGGGTTCCTTTACACATTCACATACGCATTTGTGCTCGCAAGCAACTTTCGTGCATACACATACACACACAAGCCCCCCCCCCCCCCCCCCCCTACGAAGGCTGCTCTCCCATTTCAGGCACTCTGTTGCACAACATGTAAACATGTACATGTCCTGTACGTGTATAATATTTTGGAGACTGGTGGACTCATGAAAATAAAAGAATGTCATTTTAAAAAGTTCAAGACCAGATTACATCTGTTGGTATACACATACCATGCTATTATTACATCAAGCCATGGCAGTGACATATATGTCCTGTTGAAAATTACAGAAGTGATCTATCATATATTTATTTACTTCCTCTTTGTTGCTGTTACATGTACTTTAAAGGCCATCGTCTAATGGTTTTGTTCTTCTCGAACTTACACTATATGTTATGGGTTTACCCCCTTTTCAGCACTGTCAGGTTATTTTAGAGGCGGAAACCTCCACCAGGGCCGAATGAAGAGAAGAGAAGTTTAAGTCTGGTGAACGAGCCGGATGAGGCAATTTATTTTGATGTTGTTTTCCCTCAAGAACTGCTGTGGTACACTGGCAATATGAGGTCTTGAATTGTTTTGCTGGAAAAAAGAAGTTTGAATGCCCTTGGAAAAAGGGCACCACTTGATGGTGAAGAACCTGGGCCATGTAGCGCTTACGTGGGACCCCATTTCCTTGTCAATGACCCTTAAACCTTTGTCAGAATATTCTTGAAGTTAGATTTTGAAGAAGTTTTCGTAGCTCCATCCATCTATTTATGTCTGATCTTTCAGATGTCATGTGTGCCGGTATTGAATCAAAAGTGTCTGCCGTTTGTGGTGAAGCTGCTAGGAGCATGGCGTTGCACACTAAAGACGCAAGTTCAAGTCCTGTGTAGGGTGAATTTGTATCGAATATCTTGGTCTTTATGCAGGGACGTTGTACAGTACAGTGTGTCCCTCTCAGTAGTCTCAGCTTAGTTGGCCATGATAAGCTGGGTTGAAGTCTGCATCCTAAATTATATTACTTGTGTCGATTGGGGCGTAAAAACGCCTACCTAATTTATTTTTTTAAATTCGGGGGTTCTTCCTTCAACATCATCATCTTTGCCTTTTTCAAACTGGATCAGGATATAATATAGATCTAGGTCACGAACAAACCCTTTCCACCTTTCCCTTTTCTGGGCTAGATCTAGATCTAGTTGCTCTCTTTATCTTTTACTTGTACCCTGTGGGTTCGAATCCAACACTTTCCTTGTTATGCAGCTGCTTGTATTCCTGAGAGTATGTCCAATCTATAGCCACCACCTTCTTCCCACCTTGTCTGTGACTGTGCCCTGTCCTGTTCTCCTTAGTACTTCCTTGTTGGTGACCCTTTCTGTCCGTCTGATCCCCAGCAATTTCCTTAAACAAAAATTCAAGAAAGCCTGGATCTTCTTAATGCAGGTCTGAGATACGTTCCTTACGGCACCGTACTCAAAAAGAGGCCGTTATATTCGTAAGATACGCCAATTACAAAACAAAACCAATTAAAACAAAACAGAACGAAACAAAAACAACAACAAAAACTTTTGGGTTATCAGATGCATTCATGTAAACAAGGTTTTAAGTCTCGTTCGCAGAAATTTGAGAAGTGAAATAAGATAACTGCAAGAGGTCTTCGAAACAAAATTTTATTTAAATTTATAAAACAGCTGAAGATATAACGTGCAAAGAACAAATGTGAGTGAGGTGAAGATGTACCCCTTTCTTGTACATGTTGTATTGATTAGAAGAATCAAGAAATACCATGGTGTTCTAGTGTAGGTACCTACACCTTGTACAGTGAATCGACTGATTAGACAAAATTGACAGAAGGAATAACAGAAACAGTAGTAATAGCAAAATCGAGTTGAATTTTAGGCACAACTAAATTTTACCCCCCCCCCCCCCCCCCGTTTTCCCCCTCCCTCGTTTTTTTTACTCTTTCATCAACGTGTCCAAACGGAGATTTTCCCCGTTAAATTAAGAATACACAGTAATGTAACTACCCCTCATTTTTCTACAATGGTTCTTTAACCCTATCCGTACGCCCTGGGGTCATTTTGTACCCCGGGGGGTTGTATTCTTCACATTTTAGAGTACTTCTGGTACGAAGATCTCTTTGAAACTTTCAGTAGGCCTATTTCTTTTTAAAAAATCATTTTGACAGACTGCTATGCAAAGCATACAGATCGGATGGATTAACGAGTGAATTTCCTCTTTGGAAAGTGGTGGCACGGAGTTCCCTTGTCGTATGGGTACGATAGTAAAACCCGATGTACGGATAGGGTTAAACTAACATATTCACGTATTTTTTAACAAAACACCACTTTCTTTTTCAGCATTACCTTCCAGAATCTACCAGTAACTGTTCTTTTTCAAAAGTATAGAGTGATTTCTATTCACACACAGCGCCCTTAACTAATTGCACTAAAGCGGTGCAGTCACAGCGCTAAGCTCTTAATTAAGCCCCATCATGGTGTGTGTGCTATTTTCTCTATTATGTTGGCTACTCTTAACGTATTTTAACGATTTTAGCCCCATCTACACCCCGTTTTTTTCGTCTTATTAAGCCTGTTTGAAGACAGCCATAATAAAAAGGACACCTGTTATAAGTGACCTTGTTTTCCAGAAGAAGAAAAAACATGCGTAGTCTATTTTAAAATGCTTTCAGTTCAGCTCAACTCAATGACATTGCTTCTGAAGAATGTTTTCTGTGAAGGGCTGAGTTTGGTCAAAGTCACTTTAGTGTACACCCCCTGCAATAAGTTATTTCATGGTTTCTGTTACTGGGTTACCTCATCGGAAAGGGAATATATAGAAAGAGAGTCGAGGGGAAGGGTGGGGAGGGAGGAGGGGGGGGGGGGGGGGGTAAATGTTTAGTTTTGCCATTCCCTAGGTGAGTGATACCAGTGAGTTGTCAAGTGTCCACGATGAGCATATTATGATGTATTTGCTGATAGACGTGAAGAGGACACGTCCTCCAAGGCACTGCTCACACCAGTCTGGAGGGTCTGGTGCGCTGGTCGGGCGCTCTAACCTCTCGGACAGCAGAGCGCATGAGTCAAGGTACTTGAATTATGGAATTTTATACAGGAAAAAGAAAATCACATATAAAGAGCAAACATTCTATTCAAAAAATGATGTTGTATATATAATAATATATACTGGGCTAGGTGTTTGGTTCTACTTCTACACTGTGTGGCGCAAATAGTCTCTTACATTTCGCTACCATAGAATTACAAAGTTCTTTCTGCTCTGTACCCAGTTTTGGGAATTTTCATGTTAAAGATTTTCATTTTCACAATATGTCAAGCCTTTTTTAACTCAATTTTTTGAATATCCTGATAACAACTTCGAATAATCTTACGGTTTTGATGGAGCAGATTGAACATTTGGTTTCTGACCACATCGTCGTGGAATTGTGAAAGAAATTTGCAATGTGCTTGCGCAATTGTTTAAATTCTAAGGTAGGCCTACCGGTAGGGCCTACTAAAGCGCATCAATTTATACACTAACTGAGGTAATAACGTTTACCTCAGAAGATTGACCATGGTCTAAATTTAGGAAAACTAGCTAAATAAAAGGTTGATGGTTTTAAAGTTACAGGGACTCAATGCGGAGACGTTGTTTGTTGTAGTTTTCGATGTTGCAGTGGCATTGGCAGGTGGAAAACAAACAACGAGTATTGTAGGCCACAAGCACAAGTTGATGTTCTCTATAGGCCTACACATAGCGCACTTTATTTCACTAAGGTTGTGCACTAGTCTCGGACAATGAGAAGACGTTTCACATCTCGTAAGAATATTTACGGGATAAAGAAATAGCCAAAGTTCACGAACAAAGGGATCATCATAGTCATAGCAAGTCAAATGAGGAAAATTCTCATTTTTTAACCCTCTAATTAACTAAGTAGCCTATATTGTATCTGTGATACAATGGTCTTTGGCTTTTGCATCACCCATTACAAAGTACAAGAGAAGTTGTTAAAATGGGCAGTTTATGAGCTTACGAATACATATACAAACTTATCAAATCATGGTACTTTATGATACACACATACATTTATCATTATCGTTCTTATTCGCACCATGGGCATTGAAGTTGACTTCCTCGACTGGCAGAGAGCGAACAAATTATGCATGGCGCAAACTGAAATTTAAGCTTTCAAATTCAACAAGTAACCTATTCTCAAGCTTTTGTTGGGGCCTGTCAACAGCAGTTGTCTCAGGTATTTTCTATAATAAATCAAAGGCTGAGAACTGAGCGATGGCGTCACTGGTGTAGTATTAGACCTTTCGCCTTTGCAGGCTGCAAACGTGTGTTCGGATTCCTAGGAGAAGATATGTTTTTAAAATCGAGCATCTATTCTCCGTCTGTCTCTTGGGATGGTGTATCTCACTCAGCCCCGGTCTGCTCTGACAGGCAGGGTCGAGTCAGCCCACCCCCAAAATCACATATAGGGTGTTGATAGGGGCGTGAAAATGGTGAAATGGTATGACCTTAACGCCCCTATCAACACTATTGGGTTATTTAAGGGGCGGGACCTCCTAGTTTAACGTCTGTCTCCGATAGGACCGAGCCACGTGGGAAGTTCGTGTAAAGTGTCTTTCCCAAGGACACAACGTCGGACCGAGCTGAGGCTCGAACCCCGAACCCGCAATCTCACGATTACAAGTCCGGTAGCCTATCCACTAGGCTACCGACGCCACGATAGGGGCATACAACATTTACAATTGCAGTTGCAATGAACACTGAACTATAAAAAGTAGCTAAAATGAGCATCCCAAAATCTGTTTCAGGGCGAGGGAAATCATTAGGTAGAAACGAATTTTTTATTTCCATTAGAAAACATGTACCGACCTCGAATAAAT